TTAATATAATAAGTTGAATCACTGTATCACTGTAAAGTCACAGTTGCAGTGATCTTTAATTTGATTCAGTAGAAAGTTCTTGAATTCTTCTTAAGTTATGACAGTATTGATACACTCAAGCTTTCTCTTCTTAGTGACTTAAGTAGTCACAGAGATATCTTCAAGAAGGTTGACAGTGTATATTACTTATATCTTATAAGTATTATACTAACTCAGATTAAGATGGAATTTTCATTCAAGAATACAGATAAAGCTGTGAAATTCAGACAAGATATTTCTCTTATATCTCAGTGAATCTTCAATCTTAATCTCTCTATCTTCATGATAGATGTAGATGTGTAGAGGCTGCGGTGATAGTAGAGCAGTTGAAGAGCTTATGTTAAAATACACAGTAGATTCAGAAATCTCAGATTTCTGCTGAGATAGAGATGTACACACTCTAGAGAATGATGTAGTGTTTTCTTCAGAGAGTGAGATTGAATTAGTTTCAGTACAGATACATGAGGTTATATCAGTCTATTAGAGCTTGACTGATTCAAACATGTAATCAGATTGAGTGATTTGAATTGTAATATAATAGAACTGAAGCAGTGACTAGTCAGTGACATTATATAGAGATAGTTGTTTAGAAAGCTGTATAAGTGAGCTTGACTATCTTGCTTGAATAGTGAGCTTGTAGGCTACAGAGTTATTATGAGAATATTATAGATATAATACTTAGTATACTAAGAAGATTGTATGAGATATGCAGTAACTCTTATATATATTATTTCTCTAGAAGAAAAAGATGAATCACTGACTTCTTGAATGAGAAGTCAGCATCTAGCTATTCTATATAGATAATGAGTGAATACTCTTCTCTCATTTCATAAGTGAGAATAGCTGAAGTGATACCTCAGCAGCATCTTATTACTAAGAAAGAGTAATCTGCTGACCTTATATAGAAGTGAGGTTCTCATATTCATCAATTGAATCTTTCTATGATATATCCGAATGATATCATAGAGTGGTTGGAAACTGGTTCAGATGAGATGAAATCATCCGCATGAAAGCAATGAGCCGTGTGAAACCGCAACGAAGCCTTGACGCGGCCGGGAGCGTGATAATAGATCACATATCTGTGAAATTTAATAAGTTTATATAGATTGATCTGAGCAGACAGTTTATCTACTAGCTTCTGCAATTTATAAAGATAAGTGTAGACATCTGACTCAAGCTTGTAGAAATGTAAGATCTGCAGTGAGATATTCATCAGAGCTGAAAAAGAGATTGTATAAGAGCTGTAAACAGATTTCTTATCTTCTATAACTGTAGATTAATACTTCTCATTGTATAGTATAGTAGATGTAGATGTGTTATTAGTTATTATAATAACAGTATTCAATACATTCACTTAAAATTTCTTAGAAATGTTCTTATCAATGATAATCACTCTTATATATGTCATGATTATGTGAATTCTGTATTCAGAGACATTATCTTGATATAAAGAATAAGAAGTTATCAGCTCTTAAATTATACTGTAATTACTGAATAATATGATAATCTTTGCAGATCTGAATACTTTATTAATATCAGTTCTAATATATACAGATACTGTAAACCTTAAATTCTTTGTAAATTAAGCTCAATGAGTATAATAGTTATAAGCTTAATCTTTACTTTGTATGAAATAGACTTATCTATATCTTATTATATTATCTGTAATCAATATGTAATATTTAGTTTTCTAATATGACTTGACAGAGTGATCAGACATCTCATTTAATATACACTTATTACTTACAAGATTAATATGAATATGTTACATGAGTCAGATCACTCATAGTATGAAGGTCTGAGAAAAATGATATATTATACTCTCTTTCACACAACTGTCACAGAAAAAACCAGTCTTGAGACTCTTGATTCAGATATCTAATAATAAATTCTTTGTCAATGTAATGATGACTTCTATGTGTATATAATCTAAGTCTGTGTATTATTCAGTGAGTGTTTTAGCAATTGTAAGAGATTGTATCTGATTATTATTAGTGAAATTGTTGTTGTCAGCAGTAGTTACAGTATTCATATATATATATGATTTCACAGTGTAATATACTGCTCTTAACTTATAATAAATATCAACTTTCAACATTCTTTCAACAATTTTATATATGAAGCTCTGAGACATATGAATCACAGTGAAAGTAACATCATTTGAGACTCTTATAAGAAAGTAAGATGAGATGAATAATGATAATTTAAATTAAATACTCTGATCTTCAAGCTTGATGAATGATAACAGATTGACTGTGAGATTGAGAATTCAGTGAATATTATGAATTGTAATATTCTCTTCTTCAGATTCTAAGAGAAGATTGTTAATTTTCTTAATATAACTGTGATCTCTATCTATAGTGTTAATCTTGAGATTACTGATGTAAGTCTTATATTGAATAAGAGACTGCTTTTCCCTTATTATATTAAAGCTTATACATGTATTAAGAAATCAAGACTTGAATATAGTGCTGACAGTCACTGAAAAAGCAATCACAGTATTAACTGTAATGAGTTGAGAGATTAGAAGATCAGAAGATTCATCTTTTTTATTATTTTTATTCTTATTCTTCTTCTTACTTCTTCACTTATCATGTCTACTGATATTACTACTATTATTTTCTTTAGATGTAATAATACAGTTCTTATTTAACTTATATCACTGTTCAGTAGTAAGTTCAGAGTATAGATATTAGTAAGTGTTTTTTAAGTATCAGTTTGTACTGCATATGTTGCACTTGAAGCTGTCAGTGAATAATATAGTAGAGATTGTAATGACTATATTAACTTACTACAGCTTGAAATGTTCATTCTTAAACTTACTTATACAATTTATCAACTGTTTCATGAGATCTTTAATATCAATATTGTGAATAGAGTCTTAATCAGTTATATAGAAATCATTTAAATATATCTTAATAAAAGACTTTTAATAATCTTTTAAATTAATAAGAAAGAGATTATAATAGAAGTCTTCTGAGTTGTTTACTAACTTCTTATAATATGTAATTAAATAACAGAATCTTCTCTGAAACACTAGATAATCATTTTTCTTAATATGTAAGATAATTAATTCTTTTATAATATTTATATATTCTTCTGTAAGTGAGACAGTATACTCAACTTCAATTCTTTCTTATAATGCAGCTGTATTATCTGACTCAAGAGTTTCAATGATTGTATATATAAGTTCTAATAAGAACTGCAACATACATTAATACAGTACTTTGATATAAATACTTTATTTTTCAGTACTTAATATATCTTAACTGATGTTATCTGAACAGATATATTAATTCTTCATAAGAATGTCAGATTCATTAATAACTTCAGTGTCTGTAAGAATTTCTATACATCAGATCTGATAATTAATACTGTTAAATATAATTACAGTTTTAGTATTCATGACTTTTTAAACATTCTTTTGATATTCATAGATCTGAGATTTAAAATTGTTTATAGCAGAGATGATCTCTCAACACATGCTTATTCTATTGCAGAACATTATAAGGTCATCTAATGATATAAATATCATGTTATCTTGACTCATTCTAGGTATAGAACTGTCAGCAGAATGTGCTTCTGTAAATACTATATATATAGCACTTGAGCTTGAGATTTCATTATCAGATTCATGATGAGTGTCTGTATCTTGATTAATAGATGACTTCATGACTCTCTCTATGACTTCTATGTACTAAATAATGTCATCTTTATCTGATTCTTCATTAATAGAGGCCTGTTAAGCTGTCTGAGTATGAGAATGAGAGTATAAAGTCTTCTTTCTATTACTCTGAGAAGTAGATAAGCTACTTATCAGTTATCACAATCTGAGTATAGATATAAGAAAAGAGATTCAGACAAGATCAATCTCATTCAGTTATTAATTTAAAGAAAGAATATAATCTCTTAATCTCTAGATATATCTGCTTATTCTGAGTAATGAGAGCATCTTCTATTTAAATTAATATAGAAAAGTGAATCAATCTGCAGACAATTGACTACAGTGTAATCCTTCTATAAAAACATGTATAAGGGGTCTTATTAAAAGAAAAAAAACATGAATGTTCCAGACTATAACCTGTAAGTGAGTGTCAGGAAAAAGAGGTTATACACTACTGAACGCCATCAACATCATATTACTACAATATTTCTCATCATCATCAGCTTACTACAACACTCATCTAATACTCACTTATGCTAGCTCTCTTGACTCGCACATATATTTTACTATAAATAGCTCTATCTTTTGTATGAAATAGATATATTAGATAGTGCATGGATAATATAACAAGCAGATCTTGATACAGATAAGATTCATATGTCTTCAACATATTCATCCATGACACTCAATCCGACAGTTATGAGCCCGGTAAGCAGCATCTGAAGAGAAGCATGATACACCACTAATTCCAATCCTCATTTGAATTTGACAACAATCATTTGAACTGAGATGATTGATTCTCATTTGTATACAGTTCGATCTACTCGACTGTTATATCATACCTGATTCCCGGTAAGCAGCATCTGAAGAGAAGCGTGATACACTGATCTCAATCCTCATTCGAACTGATAACTATCATTCGAACTGAGACAATTGATTCTCATTCGTATACGGTCCGATCTACTCGACTGTCATACCCGATTCCCAGTAAGCAGCATCTGAAGAGAAGCGTGATACACTGATCCCAATTCTCATTCAAATTTGACAACAATCATTTGAACTGAGACAATTATACACCGATCTCAATCCTCATTTGAACTGATAACTATCATTTGAACTGAGATGATTGATCACTGATCCCAATCCTCATTCGAACTGATAACTATCATTCAAACTGAGATGATAGATCCTCACTTGTATATGTTCCGATATACTTGACTGTTATACACCCTGAATTCTGATCATATCTATCCTCAAATTCTTGAACCGATTCCTCAATCCATTCAATATAACCAATATGACAGACAAGACAATGTCTAGTGCGACAGTACACCTTAGCATTCCTGGAGATTGGAAACTTTGGTACAAGCATATGCTAGAATATGCAAAGGACAAGAAGGTATCAGACTTCATCAATCTTGATAAACCTGATATCTTCTCTGAACTAGAAGAACCTCTGGAACCCGAGTGTCCAGAAGAAGCCACCGCGGAGGCCAAGATAGCATATGACATCAAGGTCACTGCATGGAAAATCAAATATATGAAATATGAGAAATTGAATGAAGGTATGACAAAGATACAAGATGTCATATGAAGAACAGTGGATGCCACAGAGCTACAACATGTACACAGTGAGAATGACAATGTAAAGAAGATTATTCATTCATTAAGAGATCATCTCTCACCCATGACCGCAAACTATCAAGATAATGTGAGAACCTGATATCATGATCTCTGCAAAGCACTGAAAAATGAAGGTATAGAGAAGTGATTAAATGACTGATCACTTATCAAAGATGATATCAAAGAGGCAGATATAGCTGAACAGTTCAACTTGAAGAAAGACTTCTTAAATGCAAATCTAGCTATTGATGCAGAATATGTACAAGCATGAACAAAGAATGTCTGATGTGATAAAGATGTCATATCTTTGATAGAGTTAGTTAAGAACTTCAAGAAATGGTATAGAGAAATGAGTATTCTCAAAGAAGATAAATCTATGAACTTCACTACTCTTAATGAAAGATCTCAGTAATTATTATCAGTGACATTTAGAAACTGCATCTGCAGAGCTCATCACTGATACACTCAGTGCTACTATCTCAATTCATCAAGAAAGTCATCTGAATGAAAGAAAAACAGGGAGAAGAGAACTCAGATTGATTAAGCTCTTAAGAATCAAGAATTGAAGAGACATATTGATCATGTAATATCTAGAGATTCATTTATAAATACAGATATGATAGATGTCAATGAAGCAGTTCTAGAGAGAATGATTCTGAAGCAATCAGTTTCTCAATCTATTAATCATCAATCTATCAATCATCAATCTATCAATCAGCAAATCTGAAAAATATCAATGAACTCTTCACATTCTCACTTCTATCTCTGAAACTCCTGGATCTTTGATACTGGTGCAGAACAGTATATATACAATAATCAAACACATTTTCTATTCTTTACATCTGTGAACAAGAATACAGAAGTCTATACAGGCAATTCCAGCACTAAAGTTGAAGATTATGAAACTGTTAGAACTATCATGATAAATGAAGCAGGAAAGCAGTTCAATGTTAAACTCATCAACACAGCTTACATTCTGAATTTCCATACAAATATCATTGCATGGAAACCATGTTTCCATATAGAAGGCATCTATTATGATGGAAAAGACTTCAGATTGTGAAAACATGCAGATAATACAATCTTTGCATGTGTTGAAGTATTTGAGAGGTTGCTAGTTACAGAATATAATAGTGAAACAGCTGTTTTCTCAACTATCTTGGAAAAATCCACTACCGAAGCCGATGCAGCTACCACACCACACACATCTAACATCACTATATCTGAAAAAACGATATCTTCAAATTCTTCAACTTCTACAAATCCTTCTTCTAACCTGTCAATACACACTTCAACAAATCATCCTTTCAACCTGCAAAAACACACTTCTACAAAACCTTCTCAAAAACCTAAGATCTCTATAGCTACACAGTCTACATGGCATAAGAGATTAGGACATCCATCGAAAATCGCCATTCAAAATCTTGCAAATGATGCAACTGGCGTTCAAATTACCCATCAAGAAGATGCTGCGGACGAGCTTACCACCGAGCTTTGCAAACCCTGCCATCTATCTAATGTGGAAAATCAAATATCTAGACGTCCCCACGTTAGATCTCATACACTGAATACAACACCTGAACCTACGCCAGGGCCAGCGGGCCCTAATGTTGATACAGGTCCCAATATTGATATTAATACTCATCCAGCTGTGATAGATAATTGTACATGAGCCCGAAATCACAGAGCTGCCCACCTTGTGGCAGTTGCAAATGCCAAAGCCAATCCTTTTCAAATGATCAATGAAGCATTCTCTCATTCTCATTCTCACCCAGACTTCTACAAGTCTCAAAATTTATTTCCTAATACTGTTTTTACTGTTATCAACAATACATCTACCTCAACAGCATTCATACCGACTTCAAGGATCCATAGATCTCAACTGCCAGATCCACCGAACCACTGGACAGATGTTGAAAAACACCCACATTGCGAAGAATCTGAGAACGCTAGGCTTCACCTCTATGCCAGAGGATTGCTGCCTCTTCTCAAATGATCAATTAATTGTCTTCTTCTATGTGGATGATATCATCATCCTATCCTGATGGGAGGATTCAGATGAAAGATATCAATCCGAGAACGTGTTCAATCCGGCGATATTACAGTTGATTGGGTGCCTACGGCCCAGATGCCAGCGGATGGCCTCACTAAGGCTCTGCCACGCCAGAAACATACGGAATTCGTCAAGATGCTAGGCCTAGTTGATATATCAGATATCATCGAGGCGTAAGCAGAATAAATGGTCTATCTTGATGTAATCTCTACAGATTCATCTACACTCTTTTTGTTGCAGCTTCATTTACACTTTGATTTACACTTTCATTTACATGTTACATTCGCTGAAGGGGGTGTGTCAGGAAAAAGAGGTTATACACTACTGAACGCCACCAACATCATATTACTACAATATTTCTCATCATCATCAGCTTACTACAACACTCGTCTAATACTCGCTTATGCTAGCTCTCTTGGCTCGCACATATATTTTACTATAAATAGCTCTATCTTTTGTATGAAATAGATATATTAGATAGTGCATGGATAATATAACAAGCAGATCTTGATACAGATAAGATTCATATGTCTTCAACATATTCATCCGTGACACCCAATCCGACAGTGGGAAAGGTTGATCCTTCTATTATTATGGAAGCAGCTAGCTACATTATATAACATAAGAGATCACGTGCAGGCGGAGCGATCGCTAGGGCAATGCCACCAAGGCGCTACAAATATAGTGGTTAGTCACGTGATCTAGGGAGATCGCCATAGGCAATAGCCGCAGCGGCCAACACCCCCTCTCAACTTATCAGTATTGAGATTGAGTGCCATATTTTAACAGTCATGAATGATGAGGAATTAGAGAAGAGAGAGGAATCAAAGTGGCAATCTCATATAAATAGAATGCGGGGTGCTTAGAAGCTAAATGTAATTCTCATTAAAACATGGTGGCATTTCTTAGCTGTATGCAATTCTTTTGGTAGCGCCCTCCGTATAAGATTCATCAGGTACATATATTTATATATATGCATATATGTATACCAAGAATCATGGCATCAAAACTCTACAATAAGCAGAAATCACTCTCCATCAAAAAGTCTATCCCGCAACAACAACTAGCTAGCAACATCGACAACATCAAGCCCCCAAACTGGCCGGCCCTAAAACCTCTCATCCCACCGTCAGACCTCCACCTCGAAACCCTCCTGGAGGACCAAATCCTCATAATCCGCAACCTGCTCGCCGCTTCCCTCTGCAGAACATATGTCTCCTTCCTCTCCACGCTGCCACTCATCACGACGCCGAAAAGGCCCAAGAAGGACGAGGCTGTGCGCGTTAATGACCGGTTCCAGGTGCATGATGCGGCGTTTGCGGAGAGGTTGTGGAGCGGTACTGCGTTGAACGAGTTGGTTTTGGCGGAGGGGGAAGGGGAGGCGTTATGGGGAGGGGAGGTGCTGGGGTTGAATCCTAATATACGGATTTATAGATATGCGCCTGGGCAGTTTTTTGATAAGCATTGTAAGTTTTTATTTTTTCTATTTTATTTCTAGATTTTATGGACGGGTTTATTCTTTCTTCTGCTCGCAGGGGTATATATATATACATACAAATATACATGTATAAGTACCGCTTTTTCCCCCTTCCGGCTCGTCAACCCTCAAATCTCAAATATCCTCTCCCAGCCCAGAGCATCAAATGGATAAACCCCAAAAACCATCCATACATCCCCAATCTATCTGCCAAACTAACCCCAAGCCCAGACGACGACTCCGTCCCCCTCCTCCTCACCCCCTCCACCCCTTCCACAACTCCCACCCCGACAATCCCCGCAAAAACAACCTGGACCCTCCTCATCTACCTCACAACCTGCACAGGGGGCGAAACGGTCTTCTACCCTGACGACGACGACGACGAACAACAAGCCGGCCCCCCAAAATCCAAATCTAAATCCAAGTCAAAATCATCTCCACAGCAACGGCAACAGCAGCAGCAGGAACCAATAATCGTCAGCCTCGAGACGGGCATGGCGCTGCTGCATCGGCATGGGGAGCGGTGTTTGCTCCATGAGGGGCGGGAGGTGGTGGCGGGGGAGAAGTGGGTTATTCGGAGTGATTTGGTTGTTAGGAGGTAGTACATGTATAATACGTGTAGGTTGGGCGGGGTTATATATATCTATGACACTACCTGGGATGGGTGGTTAGGTGGCTATTTCTCTGGTTTCCCTGTATCTACCACGTAGGGTATTCAGGTATGTATGTACGTATGCGTGCAACGCTCTGATTTAGAGGATGAGGAATCAGTAGCTAAGATGGAGAGAACGTAAGAGGGATAAGAGGGACCAGTTGTATATAATAGTTATAATATAATAATAATTCTTTTCGAAAAATTCCCAGTACCATTCATTAAACATTTTTTCAAATTGAATGTGCTGTGCTATATATATAGTCTTCTTCTACTAGCACTCACATTTTCCGTTCATCTCCCTCTTCCCCCCATGTCAACAAGCATATCTCGAAAAATGAGTAAAGAGAATAAAAAAATAAAAAAGTGGGTTCAAGACAAAGACAAGACAAGACAAAGACAAGACACAGAATGTAGAACCGCAGCTAGGCTAAACCTCCCTCTTGCCAACTTTCTCAAAAGAGAGAAAAGAAAAAAGACAAGGAAATAATTTTAGCTACAAGATTCCTCTTCAATGTTTAATACCCCCAGTTGACCATCGTTTATATTTTTGCGCGAGCATTCAGAGAGGGGAGATGGGACGAGAGATAATGTATATAAGAGTTAAGTAAAAAGGGAAAAGAAGAAATGAATATCAAGAGGAAACATAATAAAACCAGTTAAATTAAATTGAACGGAGAAGCAATGTAACAGATGCAAAGAGATGGATCAACCAGAATGGCTCCGGGAAAAATGAGACTTAAAAAAAAAAAAAAAAAATTGAATGAATGAATGAAAATGAAAATGAAGGGAAAAAAAGGGGTAGATGAATGAGAGGTTGTGCGTGGGAAACTCCATGCAACCCTACAGGGTGTTTTTGGATATCCCCTCAAATAAATTATCATACCAGACCATAAGTAACCCATAACACACCATATACCAAATACTATGCTTTATCACAGACCAAAAACAAAACGCAGAAAAAAAGAGATAAATCAATTAACGGATCATTCTGCCACCGTCTTCTTCGCCTCCGGCTGCGCAGAGGCAGTAGGAGTCGCAGAGCCAGTACTCGTAGTCGTACCCGCAGCACCAGTAGTCCCATACTCCGCCCTCCGCATAATATCCTCCACCGGGCCCAGTAGCCTCTTAAACCCATCCCTCCCCAACTGTGCGACCTTAACATCCGTCATGGCCACCACACTCGCTGCACGCGGCTTCTCATCCAGCAGCGCCAGCTCGCCAAAGTAGTCGCCGCGCTTATATCGCTTGACGGGAGTGGCGCCGCCGGCAATGCCGTTCTTAAACGCAGCCGCTTCACCCGCTTCGAGCAGGTAGAAGGTATTGCCCGGGTCGCCTTCGCGGATGATCGTGGCGCCTGCGGGGTGCTTGACGGTGTCGAGGGCGTCTGCAATCTTGGCGCGTTCGTAGGGCTTTAGGGAGGAAAGGAGGGGGACTTCTTCTAGGAAGGCTTCGTACATTCGGCGTCGTTGGAAGGCGGCATCCATCAGGATGCGCCGGAAGGTTATGCGATCGAGGGCCCAGAGTGTGGATTTAGGTTCGGTAGAGACGACGGTGGCGGCGCGGGGGGCGTTGTACATCAGGGCTAACTCGCCGAAAGAGCCACCGGGGCCGATGGTGTCGACTTTGGTACCTAGGCCGCTGGCGGTAGGGGATGTGGCGGAGGCTGGTTGGACGGAGCCGGAGGGGTTGATGTAGATGTCGAAGTGGCCATCTTCGACGATGTAGAAGAAATCGCCAGCATCGCCTTGTGTGATTACCTTAATGTCCTTGGCGGGGATTGGTTTCTCGACAAGGGCGTTGAGGACGGTTTCGAATTGTTCTTCGTCTAGGTGGGAGAAGAGGAAGTTGGAGCTGACGGCGTGCTGGAGGCGGGATCGTTGTTCGGGGGTTTTGGGGTGGTAAGGGGGAATCCAGCAATCAGCGCCAGAATTGGAAGGGTTTAGGGATTCTGCGGAAACGGAGGTTCGCCGGCCTAGGGCGTAGTTATGTGGCAAGCCGGATGATAGCTCCTCGCCCAGGGAGGAGCCTCCCACTCCCCCTCCCCCTCCCCCTCCCTGTCCTCCCCCTTCTGTTCCGGTGGTGGCGGTGGAGGATTGGGGGAACGCGGATGGGGCACATTCGGAGAATGGGTTGGTCTGTCGAAACGGGGTTGCAGATTCACCACTGGCTCGAGCTCCATCTCCAGCACCAGCTCCTCCTCCTCTCCCGCCTCCTGATATCTGGCCGAGCGGCCCGCCCGGCTCGGAGCGTGTATCTGTGGAGGGGAAGGTACGATTTCGAAGGCCCACGGTGGGGTTGTGGAAAGCAGTTTGAGTGGGCGAACCGAGCGACTCATCCTCCTCTTCAATTTTGGATACACCAGATGTCCCACCAAAGGGGTTGGACCGATGGAACATATTATGAGCCATGACGACGACGCCCACAGTCTGTTGTTGGGAGGAGATAAAAAAGGGGAGAGATGCCGTCTCGGGGAGAGGATTTGATATATTTTATATTTGCCTGTAGACCTAATTGCAATGGCAGGGTGGTTGGGGGGGGATGCCGTAAACTTTGTTTTTCTCTTTTGGGAAGTGAGATGGAGCCGTGGTGGAATGGGGGAAGAAAGCACTTTATTTTTAAAAGGGGAATATGGGAAGATGGATTAGATGATGGAGAGAATAGAGAGATATGGCAGTGAGGATGTGATGATAGGGGTGAGAGCGGAGGGGTTGAGGGGCATTGAGAGGGGGTTGGTTGGGTATAGTTAGGTTAGGTTAGTGTAGTGGTTACTAGTTAGGGTTGGGATGTCGTGTGGATAAGAACAGGAGCTGTAATGGGGAACGACAAAGAAGAATGGTGGAGGAGGGCCAGCCAGATAGTTGGTGGAGGAGGAAGATGTAAGATGTAAGGTGTAAGTGGTAAGGGATAAGGGATAGAGGTTGAAAGGTGAGAGTTTGAGAGGTTGAGAGGTTGAGAGGTGAGAGAAGCGGGAGAGGTGCAAGGGAGGCAAGCTAGGCGATGGAGGGGTGGAAAGAGGAGGTAGTTACGGTCTACAGAGGCGTGGAAATAAGCCCTTGCAAACACTAGTAATTAAGAGATAAACGGATTACAATCCCTCCTGATTACGGGCCCTGTTGGTGCCTGCCTTACCTTATAGGGGCCTGACCCCTAAACATTGACATTACGGGCCGGAACAATTTGACTCCAGTACTGTACTGGAATTTCAAAATAAATTTCTAGCGTGTTCAAGTACTTCAGTTCCACACCCTGTACGGAGTACAGTTGAAGCTACTATGATTGAGAGGGTGATGCTAAGTCGCGCTGCCCACTCACGGGCCACCGCCAAGAAGGGAAGAACCGAGGGCAGGGGGCCATTCGTTTTAGCCGGTCATAGTTAAAGCTACACTAGTTAAAGTTCTTGGCCTCGCTCCGGGCTTCGAGAAGAGGCTAGAAAAAGGATGCTCCCGCCACCACCCGCAACAACTGCAACCACGCACGCAGGACAACTCTGGGAGTCTGCATCAATATTATTGTAATTATGATTGTATTATGATTTTATTATTAGCTGTTCTATTGATCCCTAATACGTATATGAGGACAAATAAGAATCACCTCAGTAAGCTTGTCTATACCCGGGATCTGATGAAGAAGCTTGTGGACGGCATTTTACATCCTTACCCTCCCACCGCCATTTCTGATCATCGGCAGCTGCAGGGGATATCTCTGCGATGACTTGTACCACCGAGGATAAGTTGTGGAAGGTGTAAAGCTTGCTTGATTGAAAAGGTTGCTAGCTTGGTGTATACAGAAAACTTGACCTCGCTAAGTGCGCCACTTGACCTCGTTACATAATCATGACCCTGACCTCGCACAATACAGTAATAATCAAATGATAATTGACTTTCAATCTTTCAATTCACTCATTCATTCAGCTCATCAACTAATCAAAGCATGTATAGCTGATTCATAATCAATTAAATAAACAGATAAATTCATATAGAATATAAAGAGATGTTTTACAGAATTTTAAAATATATCAAGATAAAAATATTTAATAATTAATTTTAAATTGATTTTAAATTGATTCTGAATTGATTCTGAATTGATTATAGTAATAAAAATAGATTTAATCTATATATTTAAGTAATTAATAATTGATTGAAAATCAGTTGATAATCAATTCAGTATTATTATTAAATTCAAGAATAATTTCAGTATTAAATTGATTTTGAATTAATTTTAAATTAATTTTAAATTGATTCTGAATTGATTATAGTAATAAAAATAGATTTAATCTATATATTTAAGTAATTAATAATTGATTGAAAATTAGTTGATAATCAATTCAGTATTATTATTAAATTCAAGAATAATTTCAGTATTAAATTAATTTTGAATTGATGCTGAATTAATTGTTAATTAATTATAGTAATAAAATAAATTCAATCTGTATATTTAAGTAATTAATAATTAATTTTAAATTGATTGTAGAATTGATGATAAATAATTAAGTGATTTCAAATTATAAGAAAAGATGTATTAAGTGAGATCAGGTAGTAACACGGTCACATTTACAAGATCAGCTTATATAACAAGGTCAAGTGATGGCCCGGTGGCGTAGTGATTAACTACGCTACCATGGAGCCTCAATTAGCGGCCTTCCCCCCGGGGAATGAATGCCAAGAGAGGGCAGGTTCGAACCCTGCAAGGGCCATCTTAACCACAGCTTTCACTGTTAAGTCATAAAACAGTACCAGGGGCCCCTGAGTGCACTATAGTGAATCATTGTCAAGCTTAAGATGTTCATCCTGGGGGTTCCCGGGTGCTAATTCTCACTGATCTTAGGGTTAACAGCCCCCCGAGTGCTTCAAGTTAGATCAGTACTAGAGTGATTGAGGTCTAGAGTGCCCGCAGAATAGTGAATCATTATCAAGCTTAACTGACCAGGTCTCATCTCTCTCACTCTAGGCACTCACTTTCAGGGAATGAGATTTAAAAACTATTCAATTAGAACATTCTGAGTCTAGCAAGAACCTAGATGAGATGAGACCTAGGCACTCTTAATAGGTGGTTAGTGTAAGCAAGACTGTGATGATTAATTGATAGGCTGAAATGCTGAGATTGACAGCTGAAAGATTAGAGACTTAACTAGAATTAAGTAGCTCTGATGTTATTCTTAGTGAGAATCTCACTTATGAGTAAGCTAGTTACAGGAGCTAGCTGAGCAGTGACTCTTTAGAGGGAATGATAACCTCTGAAGCGGGCCTGAAAGAACAGAGGCAGCAGTCAGTTATATAGAGTGTTAAAATATGTATATAGCTTAAGATGTAAACTGCAGAGATTTTATTCTGTAGCTTTTTCTTTATCTTTTTCTTTCAATTTCTTTCTATCTATTTATTTAATGTGTCTATCTTTGAGACTGTGTTCTTTTTCTCTTTTCTTTTGTCATGATATTGTCAAATGATTTCAAAGTATCAAAAGATGTTAAAACACTGTAATTTATAAACAGTTTTTGTATTCTGAGCTGGAATTTTCTGATTTTATATATCTGAAATTGATGAATGTATAATAGTTAACTTTACAGACATAGAAAAAACCCTGAGAACTAAAGTTCTCAGGTAGATGTCATAGTCTCTGACTGCATACATCTATAATTGAAGAATAATAATAATAATAAAGATTAAGTGATACACTTAGCAAGGTCAAGTTTTCTACTTTCTGACTCTTGAAGAATAATGTTGTTATGTTGTAATAGATCTATCTACAAGAACATAATATAGTGATGAGTCACGTGATCTAGTGAGATTGCTAACTGCAACAGCTGTAACAGTTAATACTTCTTCTTGAGATAATAAGAATTATATATAAAAACACTCAAATCATCAAGATAGTCTGTTAAAATCAAATACAAATGTAAAATTAAACATTTTCAACTTTTACATCTGTAAGATCTAGTAAAATTATGAATTATATAAATATCACAGTGTCTAGAGATTTAATGAGTTTATCTGCTGTTATCTGAGTAGTGAGAATGTATTCTAAATTAATAACTCTCTGATTCAACTGTTAATATGAAAAATGAAAATGTATATTAATATGCTTACTTCAGACTGTAATGACTGTCATCTTTGTAAGATTTATAATATTCTTATTATCAGTGAAAATTCATATTAGAAATATAGTAATAAAGTCAAGCTTAATTATGAGATTCTGAATTCATATTATCTCACAGATTATCTTACTAAGAGTTATATATTCAGTCTTATTAAGACTTAGAGATATATAAGATTGCTTTACTGAATATCATGAAATCAGATTATCTGTAAGTTTAAAAACATAGCTGAATGTTAATTTTCTATTATTATTCAAGAGATCAGCTCAATTGAAATCTGAGTAGCTGAAGAGTAGATAGAAATTATCAGAGAAATTAGAGAGAATGAAAAAATTAATAGAAATAGAAAGATTGATAGAAACAGATCTTTTATACAGACTATATTTATAGAAAATACTCAGATTTATAATTTCTTTTAAATAATGTATAATATGTAATAGAGTTTTTCAATATTGAGATATTGAATCAATGTTCTGTTGAGTGAGTAGTAAGACAGTGTGAGTGATATCAGAATGTGTTTTAACTGTAAGATATTATAAGTAACTCACATTATATTAATATTACTGAATTATGAAATCAGTCTCTTTCTCAGATATAGAGAAATCATTAATATGAAATTCATTCTTTATTAATATTCTGATAATAGCTATATTATCAAGATAGAAATCTTCAATCAGATATTTAATATATTAATAATATATTAAATTAATTCTCTTATCTGAATAATTAATCTTTATACTTAAATACTTGATTGACTGATGTAGATTCTTGACTTTCAATTTCTCACTAAGTATACTCACTAGTTAATTGATATTCTCAGAAACTTTGAATATGATGTTAAGATTGTTAATATAGATTATTATATAGAGATAACATCTGAATATATAATATCAGAGTGCTGAATCATAGATACTGACTATAAATTCAAGATCACTTAACAGAGCTATTAAGTAATTATATCAGATCTTCACTGCAGAGTTCAGACTGTATAGACTACTCTTAACTACACAGACAAGTATTTTCAGTGAATCTGTCTCAAATTCAGTGAATTGTCTTATATAGATATTCTTAGTAAGATACTCATGCAGATATATCATCACTATATTCACTTAATAAAGTGTTCAATCACAAAGTGCTGCTATTGTAAAAAGAATATGATTGACAGTATTAGTGATAATAGAAGTGTAGATCTCTTCTCTAAAATTCTTCTTAAGTCAGTTATTATAAATCACTTAATATAATTTTTTAAGAATATTATCAGAATCAGTATTCAGATCTATAAGTCTATCTTTCTCAAGAAACACTTAACAGTTCAGAGTAATCAGTTCACTTCTCAGCATCAGCAACCGCTTCATTACAAACTCACTCAATTTTTCGAATAAGAACCCGCTGATAGATTCATTGAAAAGCCCTCGATCATACGAGCATTTTGACCCCATCGCCGACCGCATTATCTCTATATTCAGGTTTGAATTCAGTGTTCTTGTTCTTGTCATTGTCTTTCTTATTCTTGTCTTGAGTATTATGAAGACACAACCAACTGCTTCACCATGAACTTGCTTAATTTTTTGAATAAGAACCCGCTGATAGATTCATTGAAAAGCCCTCAATCATATGAGCATTTTGATCATATGAGCATTTTGACCCCATCGCCGACCGCATACCCCGTGTGGTGGTGGAGTTATCCAGCCAAACATGAACCAGACATTGTTTGAAACTCCTGTGTGGGACTATCCCCCATTCTCCCCTATCACACCACAACCCCGGGTCAAATTGCCATACAAATTGTAAGATGAAGAGACCTAGCCATATGCATCAATCTTCTCAATTTTGGAAGATCTCTGATCTGTAGTTGTGAAGATATCTGAGAAGTGATCTTTATGAAAACCCTGCTCATCTTTGATGTTTCAAAACATCAACATCAAGTTTCACCCTTGTACCACTCTTTCTAATCTGGCTCATTTCTGGCAGAAAAATACAAAAAGATATCTTGATAATAA